CGGGCGCTGTCGGAGGCGCTGGGGCGCGACTGGCGCCAAGGCCTCGCACACTGGCACGGACAGGCACTGCTGGGCGCTGTCGCGTGCGCTGGGGGCTGCGGTGCCTTGCGAGCGCTAGGCGCGGGCACGGACAGAGGCACTGCCTGGCCTCTGCGACGCGGCACGGGCAGGGCACGCGCGACAGGCGCGGCTGGTGACCCTAGTCGGTCCTTCACCGAACTTCCGGCAACTAATCCGGTGACTACCAACCCAAATCAACTCAACATGATAAATGACACATAAAAATGCCAAGAATAACTATGAGACCTCGGTTGGATTTGGAGATGGGCTTATGGGGCCGATTAGGCACGAGGCCACACTAGGGCACGAAAAATGAACATGCTCAACATGCAAATTGACTTAGGGCCGAATAATATACATAAAAAATCATGGCTAATGAGGCTAGAACATTGGTCAATACATGCATGCACATATACTTGGGTTCGGAAGTGAAAATGGCTCGATTTCACTTAACGAATTGACCGAACAAATGAACTTAAAGCATGCTAATCTTTTAACCATGTCATACTCATGATTGTTGAGGATTTTTAAGCCATCAAACTCGGCCATATCATGCATGCTACTTAAACTTCGAAATTAAGCCCTTTAACTTTTAAAATTCGAAATATCACTTTGCATGCGTGCATGACATCAACTTTCTTCATGATAATTCTTAAAATATCATGTTATGGCTGAGGAAAAAGGGTGGCACGAGCTTACCTCCTTCAAACTCGAAAATGGTGGTGATGCCCGCCACTAGTGCCTACACGCGGCTCCTCGAGCTTTGACTTGCTCCAACAACTATTGGCTGCAAATTATGGATTCTGGGAACTCCTAAAAATCCACAAAACACTATGGAATGGCTTAGCCCTAAGAGAAAATGGCTGGAACAAGGTGCAAGTCGAGCTTCCTTCTTTCCCGTGACTAGGCGCGTGGCTTTGGCCTTAGGACTTAGCTCTCGGTTTCCTCTTGCTTCCCCTCAATTATGCTAAGTGTAAAATGTGTCCAAGAGTCATAAGAATACTGTGTAGTGTCCCTTTTATGAGGAGAGGGGCGGAGCTTCTTAAGTGAGCAAAATGAGGGACAAAACATCACACATGCGCATGGGAAGATGGGGATCATGGGTGGACTTGGTCTTGGTCCCCATGAGCTGACTTTGCACGATTTTTGGGGGAATAATCAGAGCATCTTGGATTAAAAATAAGCCCTGGTCAGACTGGTGCACATGAGGGGACAAGGTATGACACAAGGTAATATTTTATTCCATGCACATGTCTCACATTTGGAGTTACTTGCTTTAACTTAGGCTTAATCTTCATTAGGGCCACTTAAGCTCAATTAGACCCTTATTATGTCCTGATTACTCGCCACTTTTGGGTCATGAAGAAAGTGGGCTGAAAATTATGGATTTGGGCTCAAGAAGTGGACCTGCCGCTGCTGGCGTTGGGCCTGGGCGCGCTGGGCTGCACGCGGCCCTGGACTGGCGCGGCACTGCTGGGCTACGCGGCCCTTACCCTGGGTGCGGGCTGAAAATGCACCACATCTTGGGCCAAGCATTGCTAACTCTCCAAAGCTTAATGATGGCTGGTAAATGAGCCCAAAAATACTTAGAAAAATTTTATGAAACTTGGTCATGACTAGGGCCATCTCGGCACGACTTGGGCACTCGCACTCGGGCAAGGCACGCACAATGCTTGGGCTCGGTGCACATGGTCCTTGGGTCGTGTATTGCACATCCTTAGGGCTGGCTTAGGAGCTCCAGAATACTTAGAAAAATCCCATAAACTCCCGGCTACACTTGGACCCTCTCGGCATGGCTCGACTCGCGAACCCTTGGAGCGAGAAATCTTGGGGTCGCGCACAATGCTAGGTGCGGTTTCCTTTGGCCGAGGGACTTATCTAGGGCTCGATAAAAGATCGACTCATACTTAGAAAATATTCTAAGTAAGGTTATGAGCACGGCTAGGGTTCGAACAAGACTCGGGACTACTAGGACTCGAGAATTTGGCTAGGCGCGAACTAGGCGCGATACTCGTGACCGAACGACTCGGTTCCGGACACGGCTAGACTTAGACGATTTATCGAAACATACTCGATATCGATTATTCGTCAACTTGAATAATTAATTCCATCTGAATAAAATCCATTACTAAAAGTAAATGGACTGGAATTAATAGCTGAGATTGAATAGCTGATAACTGGCTCTGAACTCAAGACGAGCAGTATTAATAAAAAGAAATAGCTCAACTTGGAACTAAAAACTGTCATTTTATTAATATAGAATTGGGCTGTTACAGTTTCCGATGGTGAAGGATTTCTTTTGGATCTCTTTTAATTATATTTGTTTCAAAATTGAATTTATTATTTTGTTTAATGTATTTTGGGATTTTAGAAAATAGATTCAAAATGTGGAGATAAGATTACAAATGTGAGTATTTTTAAAGTATAACTCTCTTGTAGAACTTTCTAAAATTGATACAAATGTAAGCAAAAGGCTGAGGGTTCAACGAGGCCATTTGTGAGTTCAGGTAAAATGGTGGCGCTTCCCTACTTAGAATTTTCTCTATGAATCATTTAGTTTGGCTTTCCCTAATTTTGGTGGAAAAAATACTTTCTTTGGAGGTGGTGTTATACCATTCGCTTAAACATTTATTTTCAATAGGTTAAGTTAGATCTTTTTTGTGTGGTATATTTTGTTGTGAAACTAGTTTGGAATTGTAACATAAAGTTTTTCCGCTTGTTTTCAGGTAAAACTATTAAATTTTCTGGTTGATGAAATATATTATGTGATTGTTGACTTATGATTCCCAGTAAACATAGAATATTTTGCCACCAGTAAATATACCNCTTTAGTGCAGTGGAGGTGGAATGGGATGGTGTGTACTTATTTACTGCCGCAAACTTGAATGGAAGTTGCATGTATAGCTTTAATAACCATTGCAGTTGTTGGTCTAAAGCTATTTTTCTGGGTATATATTTTTCTTGTGTTTCTTGTTTGCTTTCAATATAGCGTTGTTCGATCATTTGCCTTACTGCTATTTTTTGTTTTGCCAACTATTGGTTACTTTGTGCTTCGGTTGATTCGCGTTTGCAACAGATCTGTCTGTTGCTGATGTATTTTCCTTTCTAATTTTTCTAAAATTTGTGAATTAGGGTACGTCTCCAAGGATTTAGCGGTGGATAGGAGCGCTTGGAGGCTCGCTATCAACGTGCCAGAACCGTGACTTTTGCTCCTTTCTCTCTCTCTCTCTCGTTTTTTGTTTCGATCTCTTCCTTTCGGTTCGAGTCTTTTTGTGTTTCTCTTGGGTTTCATCTCTAAAGGCTATTGTTGTAGCAAATTATTTTATTTTTTTACCGTGTACCGAATCGAAGGATTCGTTACCCGAGTCGATCTCTCGAGGAAGACTGTTTGGAATTTAGCGTTGGTCTTGATCACACACGAAAAGAAAATAAGTACTAAACACTCTAATCACGATTGATTTGGGGGAATCAACTAAAACAATCTAGAACTAGAAAAACAATTTAAAGAAATAACAATTAAATTCCTAGAGAAAAAGAAGAAGGTCTAGGGGTCGGGAAATCTCATCAAGTCTTAAACTATGTTGAACGCTTATTTGTTCGGTTACGAGATTAAACAAGCCTACACGTTTAGAGGGCTATGCTCAATAACTCTTCGTAACAAGAGCACAAACATAAACGATAAATTCATTCAAACAAGCAACACATAGACAATACTTTTACGAACATGTCTACTCTATACGAGCCTAAATCGACCGACGTCTCCCCTCTCGGTTCTAAACGTCGATTAACTAGGTTAGAATGGTGATCAATCAACTAACCATATAATTCACACAACTCGTATAGATTGAACAAAACACATTCCTCCTAATTCAAAACAAGAATCAAAATCCCTAACCCTAGGTGAATGGAATACCTCATGCTTAGATTCAATTTCATGTTAACCGGAATTAAGAACATAAAACCAATCAACAATAATAAAATAGAATTGAAAAACTTACAATCGGATTAAGAGTTGCAAGATTTCAATCCAAATAACTTTGTGTCCAACAATCCAAGCATGAGAGAAAAAAAAGAAAAGTGAAGAAATTTATCCTAACAATATTGAGTTTTTGGAGAGAAAAATTGAAAGGAACAATATTGGGGATTGTTCCTTAGGTCTGGGGGTTCGTTTTCATATATAGAGCTCGAAAAACGGAGCTAAAACGAGTAAAAATGGAGAAAAATAAAAACAGGGTCGAACAGGTCGCGACTCGCGAGTTGACTCGCGAGTCGCGAGTCGGACGGGTCGTGGGGTCGCGCAGCTGGTCGGAGGCTCTGTTAAAGTCGCGAGTCGCGACTTTGCTCTCGCGAGTCGCGACGTAGGCTCGCGAGTCGCGACTTTTCTCTCGCGACTCGCGACTTTGGACTGCACTGCGCCATTTTACGTTTCGGGCTCCTTTGGGCTCATCCGAACTCGGAATTGAGTTCTGTTTTTTGCTACGCGTCACTAACGAACCCATCTATCCAATTGTGCTCTCGAAATCAACTTTTCTTGAAGATAAAATTCGCCCGAAGCTCCCGACCTACACACCAAAAACGACAAAACACGAAGAAAACCGGAAAAACAAACGAAAAAACACCTAAAGACTCAAAATGAAGGAAAACACATAATAAAACACGAAACGGACTAAAAACTAAAGAAACGACCTAAAACGGGATAAAAACAAAGGTAAAATAAACACGAAAAAGGCAACAAAAATAGGACAAACAGCTATGTTGTTGTTGTTGTTGTTGTGAATTAGGGTACGTCGGCCAATCTGGATACTCGATTTTTGAACAAGTAGGCAAAGTTGCTCATGTCTCAGAAATTTTCGCCGGAATTAGATCGCCTGGCTTGATTTCAGTACCTTGTTTAACAATTTTTTTCCTTTATTTTTGTATTTCTTGGTTTTGGCCTTCACAACTTGTTTAGCATTAATTGTATGAATTTTATTAAAAAAATAGGCACTACTTTCTTTCAATATTATCCCAAATGGAATAGAAAGCATGGTGAGGAGCGTGAGAGGATGAGAGAGTCACAGAACATATGGGATGTAAGAATTTCTTTTTGTAAGGAATCATTTGGTTATCTGGATGCACAGTTCACAAATCACAATACAAGCCTTTCCTGCAAGCAGTGTTAATCAGTCCTTATTTTGTTGTGTAGGATATTTCCCAAACACAGGAAGGTGTTGTTATGGTCACAGGACAGTGGCTCTATCATCTAGAAGAAGTAGATAAGAAAACCGGTGGAAATTGACAGTCGAGTGACAAGGGAATTGTTCTATAGTCTCCACAAAGATATGAAGTACTAGCAGGATCAGTCATGCATAAGTGTTTGGTGCACTTCATACCTCAAAATAAGCAGATTACAGGCCGCACTGCAGGAGCAGTCATGCATAAGTGTGTGGTGCACTTCATACCTCAAAATAAGCAGATTCCATGCTACAAACAACATCCCGGGTTCATCGTGAAAAAACTTAATGAAACTGAACAGAGGAGGCTCTTCAACTTAACTGACAAAGATTACAAGGACAATAAGCAGCACGAGGTTAACCTCCTTGTTTAGAACAATCTTGCACAAATCGGTGACCTTCCTGATCTTCAGCCTGAGGATGCTATTGTGGATTGTGGAGACCAAGTGGAGTAAACGACTTATAAGGAAGAGGAATTTGTCTCCTTTGAATGTTACCAGGGTGGATAGAGGACTTACTAGATTTCAGTCGATTAAAGCAGAAACTCCTGGGAGCGCTTGTGGTACCGAGTTGGGATACTATGTGATCCTATCTAATCTTACACTATTGATTAGTGAAACATAGCGCGGCAGGTGGTTGGAGAAGCTACTTCAATCAATTCAATCTATTGTTGCAGTTCTTGTGGTAAGCTGAAGATGAACGAGATGGGAACAAGAATGACGGTGACGGTTCAGAAAAAAAAACCTCAACAAAAGGTTCCATTATTCTTTCTTTTCTTTTCCCTTCCATAAATCAGGGACATTTTCTAAATTACCTTTCTTTGTAGAAATTGAACTTTCTTGACTATATTTTTCTTAGGATGATGTATCATCTGACTGGCTAGATACAGCCGCTCATGCGGTGGTTACTCTTGAGACAGTTGCTCATGAGATGCTTTCTGCAGAATTTCATAAGTATAATCAAAAGATGTGGCAGTTAGCGTTCACCCTTAAGGTTTCTCCATTGTTGCTTTTCATCAGGATTTTGTTCTCGCATGTGTAGCTTTTTTAATGAATATCGTTGAACAAGGTTGTGGTGATTTGGTATGAGTGTTTGCAGAATTTGAATAAATGTTTTGCATCAGATGCTCATAATTGATTTTTGCTATATTGTTGAACTTATTCTCCATTTCTCTATGCATTTTTTTCTTTGTTCTGTCTGTAACTCAAATTCTATGTTGACTTTGTTGAATTATTGCACATCAATGTTGTATTAGCACGACGCCTTATGAATAAGGAATTGGAACCTTCTCAGATGCTCAATATGTCGCCTAATGAGCTAAAGGTGCTGGTGTTTTTGGCTCTTTTGGTTATATGATGTTAGGAGATTATTAGTCATTTTAAATGATAACTCAACAATCTTTTAACTATTTTAACATAAAAAAATTATCCTAACAAGCTCTTGTTTTACCAAATTGCCGTTACTAACATCATAAGATCTCCATTTTAATCTATCCAAATATTTCAAACAAATTTTCAGTTGAAAAAATGTCGTTGATATGAGCTGAGCCACACCACAAGAGTCATCATATTCAGTTTCGATTTTTTTAATAAAAAATGATGTGAATAAAGATGTCTGTAGTGGTTGGGATGAATGTCTGTTGAGTTCCATGGATGATACAATGGGACCCTGAACTAAAAACAAGTTACTCCGTTTTCGCTAAATTAATTCTTCCGCTAGCATTGCAAAAGAGCCAAGGTGAAAAGAATAATTGTCTGCACTCATTCGTTCCTGTTAAACATAGTTGTAAATGTTCGCTTATTGAATTTTTTCACGAACCTTCAAGGCATTTTCATCATTTGTCTAATGAATCTGTTATTTGCCTTTGGATTCAACAAATTGTTCAAGCACCAAAGAATGTGTAGCTTTGGAAATGAAGAGTTGCCACAAGCAACTCAACAGTCAATCAGTTTCTGTTTCTGTTGCAAGAGTGGTCAATCAGGAAATGAAAAGCCCTGATGAGGAATCATAGTTTTATGTGAAGGCTTTGAGGGTCAAAGAGGTTCTTGATAACCATGAAGATGAGGTCTATTTGTGTGTGTGTGTGTGTGCGCGCGCGCGCATGTGTCTGTATTTTATTTTGCTGTTGTTGTTAATTGGATTCAAATTGATGCAGTTGTGCTGGACTTTCCTTGTCATATGGTTTGTTATTTTAGCCTACATGAACAAGATTTGATTCTTTTTATACTTTCTTTTGCTGGGGCTGGTTTGAGTGGTTGAGTACATGGAATTGAGTCTTTAAAGTTAGTTTGAACCACTTTTCCCATTTGTAAGCTGATTTTTGCAAGAAGAGTGATATTTTTTTCATGTAAATGAGTCCCATGTGTTTGATGGATTAAAGATTTGGTGTTACTTTCTTGCGAGCTTGTGCTTTAGTGCTTCTAGCTGATTGCTTATGTTAATGAGCTTCCACTGCACAAAATCAAAATGAAGCTAAAGAGATTGAAAAGAAGATGTGTGCACATGAATTTGAAATAAAACATACATGTTGAAAAAGAAAACATTGTTGTCTAACTGTGCAACTTATTTAATACAAAACTTACTAAAAATGTTATATATAGGACCATGTTAAGACGTGAGAGGCTTAAATCTAAAATACCATGGTTTAAAAACACATTTATAGCTTCAAATGAATGACACATTTTTTTTTAAAAAAAATTAGCTGGATATTTTATTTATGAAATACATGGGCATTAATCAATGCTCTATCATGCTTAGTTATTAATTTTTTTACTTTTGGCGGTCTACTTTGAATATTTACTTCTTCCGTATTCATTACAAATATCTGTCATGGCTTATGCTTTAATAAATATATAAATTATAATCATATAAGTATTTTCCATGTTATAAATGATTTTTTTTTTTNTTGTTCACTTTCTGTTGTGTCTTCTTCATCGATTTTGTTAGCACGTCCCTAATTGCAAAAGTTTGGTTCTTAGGGAAAATGTACCACCTTTGGTTGTAATATAACTATAGAAGTAGTTTTGGATCTGTTTTATTGTAACAAGGGACTAGCAAATTTTCACTACATCTCAGGCAGACAATAGAAGTTAATCACTTGTCGGAAAGGAACTAAGCCAAATCATATGAGATACCAAATTATTTTTAAAGTGTGTTTAATTCTAAGATGAATCGTACGACAATTACCTATAAAGTTGTGTAATGATGCCCTTATGGTGAAAACTTATTTTGTTAACAACAATGTCAAAATTGGACATAGAATTCGACTGATCATTGCAAGTAGTGACAAATTTTCACTATATTTTTAGGCTAAATTTAAGTCCGCCGTGCGTGCACGGCGTGACCCAACTAGTATATATATACAGAATAGACTCGGATGACATGTCAAATGCCCATGGGCATTGTTATTTCTATAATACATCAAATATTTTTCTTTATTGGAATAATAATTATTTATTTCATTCCATATTTTTTTTTCATCGTTACGATAATATTTTTTCTTTTATTGTATTTTTTTCTATTACATATGTTCACTTCAATCAGCCATATTAATTTATTTCTCAATATTTTTCTCCAATATTCACACATTATTCATTTTGAAGATGAAGTGATATGATATTACTCTTTGAAAAATAATATATTTTTTTTTAAAATTGAATTGATATGTTGTCAATCTAATAAAAATAAATAATTAACTATTCAAATTCTAAAATAACATATAAATTTAGAAAACTATATAGTTTGACATCTAAATTCTAAAATTATATGCGGGTGTTTAACTACTGTGATTAAAAAATATAATTCAACAATTTAATAAAACAAAAATTATTTTGATTTAAAAAAATATTAAAGTAATAACTTTAATTTGTTTTTATATACGTTTGTTAATTCAACATTTGTAATATACGAGTTGTACTAGTACAAATTTTAAAATACAAAATATCATAGCATGCTGGCTGCTGCGCATCATTTTGGGTGCACCTGAACCTGATGGTATTTACATGAGTAATAAACACCCTTCTGACCTCGAGCTTCCCATTTTCGTGCTGTCCACCAACAATTCTTTCTCTCTCTACCTTGGAGAAAATAAAAATTTGAGAGGGTAATGGGGGAGGAGAAGCCGAAATCGACTGGAGTTTGGCCCACTGTGAAGCCGTTCGTTAATGGCGGTGCCTCTGGTATGCTTGCGACCTGTGTTATTCAGCCAATCGATATGATCAAGGTACTGAATCTAAGGCATATTCAGATGTAAGCGCTAAAATATAGTTCGAAAAATTGCTTTCTAATTACCATGTTGGTTTTTCTGTTAGGGTTTAATTTCTTTACTGGATGATGGGGTATCAGGTTTTTGGCGTGCGTTTAGATATTAGATCAATCTCTCTATGTCTCTTTCTCTCTTGTTTCGCATCAGTCCGAAAGATTAATAATTTTATGATTTATGTTGTTTGTGGACTTTCTGATTCGTAAAGTTCTTAGGAATTTCACAGTCAGATGCTTTGTTCTAGTTCTAGATCTAAATCTGTTCCTGCGTTTTTTTATTCGTTGTTGGATCTAATTCTTCAATGGATTTATGTCCAATACGAATATATCTGTCTATTTGTGTTGATATAGGTAAGTGATGTCGATCTAGTTCTTCAATGGATTTATGATGCCTTGTTTTCATTTTACGAAGTTTACTTGTTGATTTTAGGTAAGAATACAACTGGGCCAGGGATCAGCTGCCGATGTGACACGGAACATGCTAAAAAACGAAGGTATAGGGGCTTTTTACAAGGTATGTCAGGATTCCATCTTATTGATTGTAACTACTTATTTGGCATTTTCATGCTGTTGATAACATTAGAAGAAAAACTAGAAGTCTAATCGACCATGGTGTGAAGAGTTAATTTTTCTTCATGTAGCCTGATTGCACACATTTCGTTAATTTTATTTGTCCATTGAACGCTCACATCATTCGTTTGCTATTATTTCTTCGTCCTATTATGGCGTTAATTATAAAAACTACTCAAGAAAAGCCCTGTTACAAAAAATTGTCAATTATCTCTCAGAATCCTCTTGTCAAAAGGTGCACTATATACAGGCTCCAGAGTGTGGTTGTAGCATTTTAAAGCGGTATTACTAGCCATTTTGAAAGATAACTAGAATTTTGTATAAGAAGCCTAAATATCATGCTTACCATTTTCTTTTTCTTTTTGCTTTTTTGGATCATTTAAGTGAGTAGTTCTTGTGAACATTGTAGCTGAATGAATCTCCTACTAATTTGTTGTTTGGATAAAAGATAAAAATGCAATGGAGAAAGAAATTTATCTTTGGCTGAAATTAATTGCACATTCTTGATAATTTTTTTTTTTTTTTGTTTTCTTTAGTTTTTCATTCTTCTCTTTCTAGTTATCTGCTAATATTGTTATAGAGTTCTTGTGTGAAATGAGGTTAGTGAAAAGGTTTGTTATAACTTCTAAAGTACTTCATTATTGTTAGTTAACCTTTTATATACAATAATGTATTTTCATTCTGTGGTTGTCTTTGAACCAGATAATTTATCTGATAATGTTTGTGTGCTTTGTCATTGAAATTGTTAACGGATTCAATATTTTTCACTCCTGGCTAAACGCAAGACAATGCGATGTCTCTCCATGTATTTATAAGCCAGAATATAGTTGGCGGTATTTACTCTTTTAACATAGTATTGTATTTACATCCGCCTTATCTTCTAATAGGATACTGACAAACAAAGCAATAGAAGCCAATGATGGGAAACCTTTACCTCTTTACCAGAAGGCTCTATGTGGATTGACAGCTGGAGCAATTGGAGCAAGTGTGGGCAGTCCCGCTGATTTGGCGCTCATCCGCATGCAGGCGGATGCCACTTTGCCTGCTGCCCAAAGGCGCAACTACACGAATGCATTTCACGCGCTCTCTCGTATTGTTGCCGATGAAGGAGTTTTAGCCCTCTGGAAAGGTGCTGGCCCAACTGTTGTGAGGGCTATGGCACTTAATATGGGTATGCTTGCTTCATATGATCAAAGTGTGGAGTTCTTCAAGGACTCTCTTGGCTTTGGCGAGGCTACGACGGTTGTAGGTGAGATTTTCTTCAATAAATGCTTAATTTCGTATGTTTCTTTTTTAATGGAAATTGCCAAATTGGTCCAATGTGAATGTAAGTTGTTGCAGGATATTAGTCGTGTAGCTTTCTGAATTGCAATTTTAGTCTTGTGACAAATTTCCATATTAAATAACAAATTGTTATGTTCATTTCAATCGAGGGCATAGGGATAATTTGCACTATCTTGAACTCATCGGGCTAAACTGCAAATCCAGCAAAAAAAATGGAGAACACACCGCATATTACAAGATTACAATTGCAATTTGAAAGATTACATGACTAGTTTTGCGACATCTATGGGCGAATTTTGAATTTTTCAATATCTTATTGTCACATGTTCCTTATTTTATGAGTTCTTGTATTCGTTTTCTTGGCAGTAAGTTTCAATTTACTATGTCCATTGCAAATGGAGTTGGAAGAGTCATTGTTGACAATTCTCATGGCATAGTGCTAATAATGGACTAGATCAAAATGGCTCAATTAAATTCTAGTGCTTCTTCTATTAGTGAAGTTTCTAGAAAAAAAAAATAAAAGTATAGCAAACGACGCAATGCACCTTGGGTCGCTACGGAAACAGCCTCCTTGTATAATTTACAAGGGTAAGGTCTACGTACAATTGACCCCCAGACCCCAAGCTGTTGGGAATATACTGGGTATGTTGTAGTTGTTGTTGTTGTTGTAAGTTTCAATTTACTGTCTGTTATCTGTCTTCAGGGGCCAGTACCGTATCTGGATTTTTCGCTGCGGCCTGTAGTTTGCCGTTTGATTATGTGAAGACTCAGATACAGAAAATGCAGCCAGATGCTGCTGGGAAATATCCTTACACTGGTTCATTGGATTGTGCCCTAAAAACCCTCAAGGCTGGTGGGCCTTTCAAGTTCTATACTGGATTTCCAGTGTATTGTGTTAGAATTGCTCCTCATGTCATGGTAGTCTTCTTATCCCTCAGTATATGTTTTTTGGAATATATATCCTATACTGTCCTAGTCGGGTGCATTGTTCTGTAACTATTGCCATTATAGTATTTTGGTTTTATTTATTTTTCTTTGACTTGGATGTCTTTTTTTGGTTCCTCACAGATGACCTGGATCTTCCTGAACCAGATCCAGAAATTTGAGAAATCTGTTGGGTTGTAATTCTTCTCTGAGTGGAGAAAGAGGCGTTTTTTCGGATTTGGAGTTCTTTCTTATCAGAATAATATATCGGCCATGTTTGAAATATTTTTTTCTGGATTATTGAGGTTAATTTTACCGAAAGCGTGATAACTTTGTATTGAACTGAACCAAATTAGGGTGGCAAGGGCATCGATTTTCCCTTTCTCGAGATTGTATCGGGCTGACTTTGGAGGATTGTTTCTCATTTGAATTCGTGGGGAAATGATAATAATTGTACTTTGAACAGCTGAGTGGAGAAGCATTCTTTATAAGGGCTGATTACGTTTATGTGCCATCTCAATCTTGTCCATTTGAGCTGTTCTACTCATATTCATGGTGGCCCGATTTTCTTGCACTTTGGCATATATATTTTTGTTTAATTTATTTTTCTCCACTTGTAGGAGTTTCTGTAAACTCCACCTGCACTTTGGCATATATATTTTTGTTTAATTTATATTTCTCCACTTGTAGGAGTTTCTGTAATCTCCACCTGTGGAAGTTTGCTTAGTTTTTATAGTGTTTGGTGTGTTTGTTCTTTTCTAGGTTGGTTTTAGGTTACACTTTGTAGTCCTCTCAACTAGACTCAGTTGATTGACTGCTTTATTCGGCTTGTTAGCTATATTCTAGTTCTTATATTAGTGTTTCTTTTAACGAATCAGCTGATTGACTGCTTTATTCAGCATGTAAGCTATATTCTAGTTTTTATATTAGTGTTTCTTTTAACGAATTCTACCGTTTTAGGAAAAAGAAAAAAGATATATATTTTTGTAACATAATAAATTGGGTGGTCCATTGATTCTCAATTGTAATTGGAGTTAGGGTTATTGTAAGTGTGTTGTGGTATCTAGGTTCTTCTAAGATGTCCTCTCTCTGGATTTGGTTTATGGCTGATTTCTAGTTGTAGTTATGTGTTATTTTTATGAAAGTCCATCATTCGGGAAAAAAAA